AGCGTGTTTCGTGTAACCGCTGCCTCTCATCTGCCAAATTGATAGCGCTGAGCTAATTAGTCAGCGGGCAGAAGCAGCGCTCTGCTACTTGATTAATTCTGAGGGTTTCTGCTTCTGAGAGGGGTTGCTTTGTTACAAACAAAACGCCTTTCTCTCTTCACTTGACGCTTGGCTTGCAGGGCCCTTCTCTGGACGACGGTCATATTTTAGGGCTGGCGGCTTTTGCCATCCACTTGAGCGAATCCAGAGCTTTGATCCCTGAAGTGGAAGCCAAGTTGGGGATTCCTCAGCCTCCTCCTGAAAAAAAACTTTCCCTTTCCGAGTACTGGAACCTCCTGCTGGCGTGCAGGACGGCGGAGTCGCTCGTCTTCTGCACGAGGTGAGGTCGTGCGGCCAACACGGCGTCGCTTCCCCAGAGATGGGGTTGGGTTTGACGCCAGAGAGGGAGCTGGGAACACTCCTCTCTTCCCACAGAGGATTTCCAGAGCTGTCTGCTGGGCGAAAAGGGCTGAGTGAATGCTGGCAAAGGTTTTAGTTTGGTCTTGGGTTTGGAAATTTGGGCCGTTAATGTGCTTGGGGATGGGGATGCATAAATGGGAATGATCCCCGAAGGAAACGGCTGTTGATTAACAGCATTTTCAGTCCTTGGTTTGACTTTAGTGAGTGGGAAAAGAGAGAATTGACCCAACCAGGTGCTGGAGTTTGTTCTTTTTGTCTGTCAGGTTTTGCACTGCGGCAGCGTCTTACCTGATGTGCAAGTTTTCATCCTGTTCTCGGGAAGAGCTGTGTGCCTTGCTTCCTCCTAGCCTTATCAAAAAGGTAAAAGCAAAAGATTGTTTTGCTGTTGCTTAGGAGAAAGGCCAATCTCGGCTCAATTTCCCGCAACTGTAACTTGTGCAAAGAAAATGATGAAAAATGCATCTTTGTACCCTCCCATCTGACTGCTATGTGTATTTTTTTGGTAACTCCAAGCAGCCAGAGGTTGCACTGGGCCTTTTTTTTTTTTTTTTTTTGGATGGAAATGTGCAGGGGGGGTTTCTGCCTTTGTTTTAGCTGCAGTACGTTGTGCCACGGCTGTGCTTGGAGGCTCGGGGAATCCTGCACGAAGAGGCTGAAAGGGACCCGGTCTGGAGTTCCCCGTCGTGCCCCTCCCTGAACTACAAAAGAACCAGCCTCTGTTTGTGGAAGCAAGCGCGCTTTCAAGAGCTCTTGAAAGAAGCAGCGTTCCAGGTATGCCTTGTTCCCGTGACTTAAGGTCGTGCTGCAATGCTCATATGGGGGTGGTGTTTTTTTCACATCTGCCCTTTGCAATTTCCTCGTCGGTGATAAAAAGCTTCTCGTAAAAATGCAACACCTGTAAAGTCGGTCTGTCTGCTGAAGTTGTCTTATACGCGCTCCACGTTTGTAGATTTTGATGGTGGTGATAGGGCAGAAGTTGAAAGGTAGAGGTAGAGCTTTAGTGCCCTGCTTATTGCAAAAGCAGAAAGCTCGGCAAGATGGACCAAATCAGTAAGAAAATGATCAGGAACTGTGGAGAAAAGGCTTGTCCACAACCGCAGCTTCCTCCTGTGTACTGGCTGGGAATCACGTAACCGAAAATACTCGCTGGGTTGTTTTGTTGTGTTTGGGTTGGGTTTTTTTTTTGGTGCTTTGCCTAAATGTCTGTGTTCTCCTGAACCACGTGTGTGTCTTGGCTGGCTCTGCCTTGCCGTGAAGCAGGTTCACGTCTCAGCCGTTTGCACCATCCTCAGCGCGCATCTGATTTGGCAGGCTTTCTTTGGTTGTGTTTGTTGGGGTTTTTTCTGACCTAGTTCGCATTAAACCAGTTTATCTTTGCGCAGAGCTGCTTGGCGCGTTACTAGAATGACTCCTCGTGCTTGGCCAGCTTGGTGCATGGGGCTAAAACCGTTTTTGCATGAGAACATCTCTTTTGATGCTCACACCAGCCTGTCTGACTGCGGTGTTTTGTTCGTTTTAGCATTTATTTCAAATAACGTGCGGGTATCTAGACTTGAAGAGGATGAGCATGTTTGGAAATGTCAAAGGGGTGAGCAGGTGTGAGAGATGCTTTCTATTTTTGGAGTGCCAGTGGGGTTTTAGTTTCAATTTCTTGCAAGAGAAATGGTGCAGGAATTTTCTTGGGTTGACGTCTCCTGTTTTGTATCTCGTAATCTGCACAGGACTGTGTCTGAGTGTGGGTGAGGGTGGGTTTTCAGTGGGGGAGAAGGTGGCTGTTCTGCACCAGGGACTTGCCTTGCTCCTCTGCCCTCTTCCCTAACTCATGGCTTTTTCCCAGTTGTCTTTCAGAGAGTGGCTGCTGTGGGAGCTGGAAGTGTGCCCCGAGAAGGATATTCTCTCGGCTTTGGAAAGGTAAGCGCAGAGGGGCTCTGTTGAAAAGGGAATAATTTGGGAGTCTTTCCCACTCAAGTTAGGAAAAAACCATTGATGATCAAGAAATAAATAAACAAGCTGCTGTGGGACACAGATGCCTGTCGGTGGCTACGGTTTGTGAAGAGTCGAGCGACGCTGGAACAGGGCACGTGCTTTAACTCGAGGAAATTCACGAAGATAACCTCTGGCCTGCACGTACAGCCCTTCCAAAGAGCTTTTCACAAAGCCTCCCCGTTTTGGGAAGAAAGATCTGGCCGGCGTCAGGCCGCCTGGTGGCTGGCTCTCTTTGTACTGACTTGGGTGCTTTTATGTGTTGTTCCCCTCAGTGTGTGAACTTCCTCTCACACCATTTCAAATGCCGGGATAGATTCGCCATCTTCTTCTTTTCAACGTTGCAGGCAGGATTTCCATTATTGGGCCATCTACCAGCGGTTCCTTCCTGCACCTTCTGCTTCTGGGGGCTGCGACGGAGACCTGGAGACAGCGTGTGGCGTGATCATTAATGCTGTCCTGGATTCCTCACAAAGGTATTCTGCACCCTGACCTGCATTTTTGAGAAGCAGTGGGGCCAGGGAAGCGATTCCCTTCTCGCAGGTCTGGCTGGGAGGTGGCTCTTGCTGACTTTGCATAAGAATCTTGCTTGAGGTGACAGAGGTCTGGGGTTGCAGTCACAGATTCTCCCCCGTCTGCCTGTCTGTCTTTTTTTAAAGTGGAATTCGTATTCAGATTTGCTTGGCCAGACAAGCATCTATGCCCCAGAGGAAGTGGCTGAAGCTGGAAAATAAGGAGGGAGGGGTAGAGGAGGGTTGACGTCTCCCCTGCAGCAGATTCAAGGAACATTAATGTCAGAGCTTTATGTACATCTGAAGCCATTTGGCTTTACGTGAATTGTGTTCTCCTCCTGGGCTAAGAGGGTTACTTACCTGGTGTGGCTCTTCATTTCAGGTTGGACCTGGGTACCTGTGGCCAATCGAAGATGTCGGTCAGTCCTGATATTCTCTGCAAGCTGCAGGTGATTTCACACTTTGATGCGTATCTCCGTGTTCAGACCTTGAATGTGACCGGGCAATTTGGGAGGTGGCTGTAAGGCTGACATTCTGCTCTCACGTGTGAGCAGTGGCACGGAAATCGAGAAAGAGAGAGATTTCTCTGATTGATCTCTTTGCATTACTTGAGAGGAATGTGGAGGGTGGGAATGCAAACATGACAAACATTGTTTTTCGGACTTTTTTTCCCCACCTCCCCGCTCAGGAGATGGTGCTGGAGCTGAGGTGTAGGCAAAAGCTCCTTTCTGGCTGCTTGGATGCCCGGAGACACTTTCTGTTCAAAATCCTCCAGGAAAGACTGAAAGACCGAAAATGTGGCTCTGCTTTGGAGGAGCAGCTGTGGAGGCAGCAGGAGCTGCTGCTGCACAGAAGGTAAATGTCGATCGGAATGGCTGGGAGCGCGTGTAGCTCGTGCGGGTTCTTTTCTAAGCAACTGGAAAAATGCTTTTTGTGGTTTCTGTCCATGTGTTCAGCTCTCTCATGTCTGACATAGTCTCAAACTTCCCTGAACGTCAAAGGCCCCTGCCCCGAGAGCGGAGTCTCAGTTCTTCTCTTGACAGTAATCTCTTATTTTGGTTTCATTCTTCCCTACCTAAGGATTCTCGTGGGGCTCCCTGTGAGTGCTCTGACCATGGTGTGTCAAAAAGAAAAGAAAACCTTGGACTGTGAAGACTTTTTCAGTTTTGTAAACTCGGAGCTGGTACGTGTCGGTAGCCAAACGCGAACTTCTTGCTGGTAGATGCTCTAGGTAAAGACCTTCAACTCAGGTTTAGGACAGGAGTTAAAATGCAGCCAGGCTTGAGCCAAACTCCGCTTGTATCACAGCGTGAGGGGGCAGAGCTCATGGTGCTCGAGCCTTTCCAGCCCCTGGCTCTGCAGAGGTCCCCTGCGTGCTGCAGGATGAGTTCCGGGTGCACTCATTTGGAATCATGGTGGCATTTTACGTGATGGAGAGAGAATCCTTGGGAAGCAGCGTAGGGAAATGTGGGGTGGAGGGAGCCAGCAGGGCAGTGGTGGGAGCTGGGTGCACGCAGTCCTGGGCTGCCAGCCACCCAAAGCATTCAAAGAAAATCATAACAAGAGGGAAGGAATTAATTTTTTAATTTTTTTCCTCATCTCCCCACAGAAGAATGTCTGTTCCAGAGGGTACGCGCTCTCCTATGACATCACCGCTCACTTTTTCAGGGTAACTGCTGCTTTAGTCATCGTGTTGTCTGTGCTAGCTGGAGCAGACGTGTCTTTACGAGGATATACCTGACTACATGCCGTTCTTAGCAACGAGATGTGCTCTTTGTGCCCTCCTTCTGAGAACGGTCGGCATAAATTACAAAAAGAAGAGCAGCAACCTGGGAAAACAAAGAGAAGCAGTGGAAGGAAAGTAGTGGTAGAGGTTAATTTTGATAAAACAGCTGGTTGAGGGGGGAAGGAGAAGCTGATGGGCACACGTTTCTTTTGCTGTGCTGACCCCTACAGTTGTCTTTGCTCAGTTTACACGTGGCTGGGTGAGGTACCTTGAAGCAGCAAAGACACGTGGGTGCAGTCGTCTAGTAATTTGTCCTCTCCCAGGGGCTGCTTAACGCCAGCTTGGACTGCGAGGAGTCGGCAGAAGCGATCGACGACGTCCTGTTGGCGTGCCAGACCAAGTGTCCCATTGTGCTCTTCTCTGCAGCGGTAGCTGGTTTTAATTTTTTCTTTAAGAGTACTAGATGGAAATTCAGTATTGATTAAGAGCACTCGTTTTAAACTTTATTTCATGTAAAAGGTGAAGGGGGAAGTAATTTTTAACACCTTTGTGTGTAACTCTTCACGGCGTGGTTTTGTTGCAGGCGGTGAGCATGACCATGGCCTTGGCGGAGCAGTTGAGTTTTGAGCTCCTGCATTACGACTGGATTATGATTGGCTATTAGGAAAAATTTCTTTATTGGAAGAGTCGTGAACTACTGGCACAGGCTGCCTGGGGCGGTGGTGGAGTCACTACCCCTGGAGGTGTTGAAAAACCATGTAGACGTGGCACTTGGGGTCACAGTGGTATTGGGCTGATGGTTGGACTTGATGATCTCAGGGATCTTTTCCAACCTTAATGGTTTTATGATTCTATAACTGGTCTGGCCAGAGGAGTTTCAGGGCACCGTGGTCCAAACGTAGTCGCAAGGGACTCGCTTTGCCTTTCCAGGGCGTGAAACTTCTCGCATTTATTATGTGTGCCTCTACAACGGGGACTTTTTCATCGAGGTGGAGGGGAAAACCCCTTTCTCTGAGCATGCCGCTGCTGATGCTGCTGGTTTCCACCTTTCTTCCCAGCTTTGGTGGCCGAGGCTGGAGCCGGTACTTTGCTCTCAGTGGAAGAGACTCTTCGGCACTCCGCTTGCAGAAGAACTGGAAAGACTGAGGGGATGGCAATCCTCGGCTGCCAGGTGTGTGCGTGAGGAGCCCGGCGTGGATCTGCGGGTGGGAGAACCTGCTCTCGGCGCGATCAGCACCCGGGAGGGCTGTTCTCTGAGCCAGGCTGCCTTTCAGCAGGCAGCACGAAACGCTAATGCGGACCGAGGCTTGCAGGGCAGCTGCGTACGGATTCTTTCGTGGGGTTTAGACTCGAAAGAGGTCATTATCATCATTTAGTCTGGCCTGCTGTGTAATGTGGGTCAGGGCGTTTCACCAGAAGGGAAACAGAATCCTTTTAGAGGAGACTGGGAGGCAGAGTCCTGGGTAGACAAACACTGGAAACAGCCTTTAGCGCCGCGTCGAGTCACTCGCTCGAGCTGCCGCGCCCTTTACTCCCTGGATTTGATGAATCTCTGCTCTTCCTTGAAGCTGCTGACTGCTTCCTTCTTTGCCTGTCCTTACTCTGTCTGCTCAGTGCCCAGTAACGTTTCTGGGAATCGAGTCCAGGAACCTCCTGGTGGGTTATTGCACGTAACAATCACGTGCTGCTGTGGTGGAGGATACAGTGAACTACTTGTCCAGCCTCTGATAAGAGAGGTTTGGGAAAGCTGTCCTCTGTTTCTAGACTTTTTTTTAAACTGTCTCCAGGTAGCATCCAGCTGCAAGGGGAAAAAAAAATGGGAGAGAAGAACTATTTATTTTTTTTATCCCAGTCACAAACTTCACCCTTTCCCCAAGCCCCTCATTTATTTCCTCCTCATTCACAACCATGACTTTTTTTTTTCCCCCCTCTCTTGTTTTCCCCCAAACCCATGTCATGCTGCTTTTGTTTCGTAGCTTCCTTTCTTCTGGAGCGGTTTTCCCTCTCTCTGACCCTCCTTGGATTTCGGCTGCCTTCCTCCATTGTGCTATTCAGCAACAGTTGCCGCACGGACGAGTGAGGAACACCCTGAAGAGGCTGGAGACTGACACGGAGCAGGCAAGACTAAGCTGCATTTTGAATTTCTGCTGTTCCCTATGCTTGAAAATTGGCAGGAGAATGTCTTTTAACTGCGAAACGCTTGTCCTGAGATCCTGCTGTATCCTCGGTAAACCCCAGTTGTGAAATCTTGCCGGTGGCTAATCGATAAAACGTAGCTGCAAATTGCCAGCTGCTGAATACTTATCCTAGAGGCAAAGTTGTTCCAAAATTAAACTTTTAACTGCGAGGCCAGCTCCTCTGTGAAGTCAGGGAGGGCTGTCAACGGCTGCTCTAAAAACTGAAGCTGGAGAGAGCGCTGTGAAGATGGAGAGCTCGATCCACGGCATGCCAGGATCACCTGCTCTCCCACAAAGGAGCGCTCCTTGCGGATTGCAGCTCAGGCAACTCAGGCCGGAAGGGTAAGGAGGTGCAAAAAGTTTTATTGCTCCAGGCAGTGGCTACAGTAGCAGCTTCTCTCATTACGGCATCAACTCCTCTGCTATTTGTCCTGGTCTAGAGCCAAAAAGCTGCTGATCTGAAACTGGTGTCACCGAGTTGATCGGAGCATGGGGAATAACGGCAGCTTCCACTTCAAGAATCTTCTGTGAGATTGGAGGAGGAGGCCGGGAAGGGATCACAGAATGGTCGAGGTTGGAAGGGATCTCTGGAGATCACCCAGTCCGACCCCTCTGCCAGAGTAGGGTCACCCAGAGCAGATCCCAACATGTCCAGGCAGGACGCTGCCTTCACCTGGAAGGAGCAGTGGGGCTTGTGGTTCATTTGTCTTGGACTTGGTGAAATGTCACCTCCTGGTGGGAAAGTGCAAGTTCTGAGTCACCACGGTGGACAGAACTAACTGGCAGTCTCTTTTCCTTGCAGCTCCTTGTCTCTCTGCTGTTCTTCTCCCTCATGGATCTCATCTCGGCAAAAATAGCACCAAAGGTAAAAGTTAGAATTCTCTTGAGCCTAAATGCATCTGATCCGCTGCCTAAAAGGAGGAGGAATGTTGGTTTCCAAATGGTTTAATGCTGTTAAATGAAGGAGCAAAGATGATGAGTTTCTTCCAGCAGCTGTGTCTGTCCTAAGCCTCCTCCCGCCTGCAAATGCTCTTTTCTGTCCCTTCATTGTCTTCTGAGCTTCGAAGCTCAGCTGTTTGTGTAGTCGCCTCGCAGGTGGGATCGAGGAGTGGATTCAGATTTGAAACACAATTGTTTGGTCTCATGCTCTGCCTCTGGGAGAGTCTGGAGGAAAAGTCATTGAGGAAAGACATGAGCAAACAGATCTGGGAGATCATTCCAAGTGATACGAGTAACACAAATAAAAAAAACCCCAAACCTAAAACAATCCCAGAACATCACTGGATAAGTTAGAGGGGAAAAAATCCGCTTTGGGGTGGAGGTCGGTGCAGGACATGCACTTCAACTCTTTTGGGGGGTTCCTTTCTACTTTGATGCAACTAAAGCTGAAAATAAACTAGATCTGTCCTTTCTGACACGCAGGAAGGAGTCGATTTTCCAACGTCTCTGCAATGGGCTCTGGAGATCTTGCAGTACCTGGAGGAGAGGGGTGCATCCTGGTCACTTCTCTTCCATTCCCCGGAGAAAGGCAAGTCCTGCCTCCCAGGGGTGGGGAGGAGAGGTTGGGTGGTTATTGTGGAAGGAAATATCTGGAATACTCTGCAGCCCCTTCGCTGCTGGAGAAGCACTCAAGGACCACTTGGGTTGCTCAGCGCTTCTCTTTGCCCGTTGCAGACTCCAGAAAATACAGTGTCCTGCACGGCGCAGCCTCGGCCCGGCACCTCCGGCTCCTGCCTGTTGCGTTCTACAGGTAACGGACGTCCCGCCGGGCTCAGGCAGGGTCGGGGGGGCTCACGGCTTGCACGCACAGCAGCTGGCACGGAGGCACCGGCACTGTTGACCCTCTGGATGAGCTGTGCAGGACGGAACGCTCGATTGCAGGCAGGATTCCTATTTAAGGAGCCTCGTACCTTTTGCTAGAAGTTTCCCTCCAGCTTGGTGCTCCACGCAGGAGCTTATCTGGCCGTGGAGTGGCCCTGCACACGACTTGTGAAACAGATGGTGGCAAGAGCACCGGCTGCATTTGCCTCATGTCTTTCTGTGAGTCTGCCTCGGGGCCAGTGCTGACCGGGCACGGTGTGTGACCTCCTCCAGCCTCACCCCTTGCTTTCGCCAAGAGCTGCTCACCAGAGAGCCAACCTTCCTCTACGCGGCACTCGATTTGTACATCCAGCTGCTTCGGCTCTTTGTGGAAGGGGAAGACCTGCCACAGCCTGACCGAGCAGGGCAAGGCCCAGACCCTACAGAGCACGTGAGTGAATCCCCATTTCTC